ACCAATTGATATGACACACCACACATATATACAAACAGTACACACAAACTCGCAGATCGTGTCCCGATGGAATTCCTTTGAAGAACCGCAGGACTTACACCGGTACGCCTGCAATCCTTCACAGGTTGACGATTGTAAGTTGTGGAATGTCCGGACACAAACAAGATTAACCAACAATTGCAATAATTGGAACTCACACAATTATTTAACACAAACATATGTACAATCACCACATCAAAGTTGTGGATTCTGCCTTGGTGAACTACCCTTGAAGAACTGTAGGACTTACAGCAGTACGCCTACATTCCTTCTCAGGTTGATGATCCAAGTGGAAGTCGTCCGGACACAAACGGAATTACCAACAGCTAGATGACAGATGATATCAATTCAGTATATACAATATGAACATATGCACAAAATCACACACCAAGCACATTGGAATGCTCATTGATGCGCTACCCCTTGAAGAATTGTAGGACTTACAGCAGTACGCCTACAACTCTTCTCAAATTGACGCCCTAGGTTGGAAAATCGTCGCAGAGTTCATTTGCTGATTTCCTTCTATCAGCTATATCCTCAAATCTGAACGGCAACACGCTCATGTCATTGTATCGTAGAATATAGATGACTGACAAACACACGACGTATCTGTTCAACCAAGCGTAGGCGCAGAGTAATTTACACCAAAGATAATAGCATTCAAATAGTAACTTGAAACTAGAAATGCCTTTATTCATGCAAGTCAATTTAACAATTACTCTCTCGTTTGCACTTGGCTTATCCTCACTAAACTGAGCAATATCTTTCGTCTTTTCAAACGCACCAATACTATCATAGTCATTGCACAAGATACTTGAGTTGATGGGTGTCTGTTTCATTGTGGATGACAACACCAACGACGACTGATTGATGTCAGTTGACGAACTTAGCGGTGGATCAGAAGCTGTTGTTGTTCGGCTTTCAGAAAGTTGTCTAACCTCTAGATTACCACCACTGCTTTCCTGTATTATTAACTCCGGTTTATCAGTAGCATCTGATGATAGGTGGGCTACACGCTGATCAATTACACTGACGGTTTGACAAGTAGGCATGCCTTCTGCAACTGCATCTGCATTTATTTCTACTTCACCCTGTAGTTGTACAGAGCGTTTGTTCAACTTAGCAGTAGTAGGCATTCCCCGCATTTCATCATGATCAACCAAAGACAAATCTGCACTATCAGGATCATTATCACAAATATTCAATTTACCATAATCCATCTGGTCGACTTCATCATTTTCAAACTCTTTAATAACAGCGGTAGATGATTTGGGTTCTTCCCCACAAATCCCTAAAGATTTTATAACTTCACTCTGACTAGTAATACCTTGTAAACTTGTGGAGTCAGAACTGCACTCTGAAGCAGTAACTCTATTGTGTGACACTCTATTCAACAATGGCTTACTAGTTGCATTTACAGGCTTCTGGACCTCACCGTTATCGTCACACAATTCGGAGTCCGAACTTTATATCACACCAAGCTTATCACTCAACTTCCTCACTGATTCATAGCTCACCTTTGTATGCACCTCTTGCAAACGTGTGAAACACAACCGTGTTTGTCTTGCATCTTGTAACTCATCTGTTGAGGATGTACTATGAAACCTGTTACACTTACTAGGTCTATATGCATTACCAGACACCATAGAGCCTTCTCGGTATCCACCTCCCTGAGGCCTATTCATCATCAATTATTGCGTTTTACCCTCAGACTGCTCTACTCTAGGGGTGAGATTCAATATACTGGCAAACTTGCTCATGGATTGATTGACACTATCTTTTACTAGTTTCAGGATATCATCAAACCTTGGCTCGATACCCTCATCCTCCATACGGGAGCTTATCTTCACCCACTTCCTTTGCAGTCGAGTAGGTAGGCGTCTTGCTATTACCTCTAGGACTGAGCTCGAGTTGTGGTCACTCATGCAATTCATAGAAATCAAGGTATTCTTATAAGTCATAAGATTATCTGAAAACTCAGTAAGTGCCTTGGAGTCATCTTGTAGTTGACTGCCGTTACCTTTGACAGCTTCGTATACGTTCCTTACAATCATTGAAGGTCTTCCAAACCTTTGACGTAGTATGCTCATAGCCTCAGCGTATCCCTCATTAGGGGGCATGAGCTTACGGCACTGTATAGCAATACCTCATCAAATACATCAATTTCAATTCATCACTTAATAAGAAACTACTCAGCATGATCTCAAACTCCTTTACAAATTGTAAATAATCAGCCGGGTTTCCATCGAAACACCGCGGTTCAAATTTAGGGAGTTTGATGTTCCTATTATCCCTGAACGGCGAAACAGTAACATCAACCATGTCATGCTTAACATCAGACACATCGCTACAATTAACAGACAAGTCACCATGACTTACTTTCCTGTTTGCATCCAAGACACTCTGTCCCTTCTTTGACCCAGGCATTGTTGAACTTGACCCAATTCCAAAAACTTTCCAGATATTGCTTGTTCAAAGAGGACTTGACTGGCACCAGGAAAGATGAACGGTGACTATCCAAACTTTCACCAACTGTCTGAATCCATCACAATCTTTTTTCACTGTCAGAAACTGTCAGCCACGTCTCATAAACCGTTAATGCCCAGCTCTTGCTACGCTCGAGCTCACGCTGTTCCTTGAAGTTTTTCAGAAACGCTTAGTAATAACGGACGCAAAAACCAAAAGACCGATTGGCTACTCGAGAATTCTTTATTGTAACACCAACATATAAAAAATGTTATCACTAAGGTCTGTGAACAAATATTACAATAATAAATCACAATATTACCTCTGATGGTTTGCTACTGACTCTTTTCTAAACAGCGACCGATGAGACGATGACTGTCGTATTGATGCCTCCGCGAAAATTGGGGAAGTTGGTTTGAGCAAACAACCATGAATTGATCGTTCAATCCTCAGTTACATTGTCAAGTGAGTTTTTTATTTTTGGATAACAATATAGGGACATTTTTGTAAATAAAATTTCTGTGTTTCCAAGCATTTAGTCAATACTAACCTTTTTCAAACCACTATTACTGTTTTTACTTTCAAGAATACTATTTGTACTTCAGCCTTCTTCCACCTTATTTGGAAGATTCCATTAAGTAGTAACAGAGGGAATGCGTGTAAATGATGGGACTCATTTGCCATATTATAAATACATTTGTTGAGAGAAATATTCCTAAAATGTTCGCGTGTGATGCATTTATTAGTAATAATTCTTCGGAGTGAACAGTGATGCCAATTTAGAAGACGTGATATGCGTAGAAAGGTCATATTTACACGTGACTTAATTTGGGTACAATGAAGCACTGTTATTGTTTCCTCCCATAGATTTTAAGTGGGAGACATACACAACAGAATCTTATATAATAAGTTACAGTATTTCACGACAGCAAAACAATCAATTACGTTGAGTGACATGGTCAACTAATACATAAGTTTAAGTGTTGATGTGATCATGTAACAGCTGACTTAAAAGAAATGATAAGAAGAGTGATGTAGTTATTTTTTATTACCTAATGATTTCCGTTAAGGCATTGTGCTATACGCAACAATGGGGAAACATTGGACCACTTCCGATAAATGGGATATACATTTCATAGTGTACTTGAAGTGCCTAGACTTTCAACACAAGTAGTGTGCATATACAGTCTGTATCATCCAGTTTAAATTTTGCTATTCTATTACTTCTTAGCACTAATGAATGCTAATATCATATGCGACCCCACGCAAGACTTCATGATGCATTGGGGAAATAATAACGGTTTAAGACTTTGATGCAGTCCACACAAGCATTACTACGTCGCCTTTCGTTCTCGTTTACTGTACAATGTCCTCGAAATGACAAGAAATACAGATAGTCGACAAAGATGAGTATATAAACAACGAAACAATAATCAGCCAAGTTAAACCAGTTTTTAATATGAAAGAGTAAATATTTATGGTAAGAAAAGTTCGGAACAATTTATTGAAAAATCACAGCTGTAGATTTTTGTAGCCGAGTTATAGTCATCACAGAGTCCACAAATCATTCTATCCACGAGTTTTGGATAGGTTATCATGAGTGTGTGGTGACGCTGGACCAATCTTTGCAGTTTTCATCACCACCAGATCCCCCAACAGAAATTGGGTATGGTCTCTCCATGTAAAGGGTTGAGATTGTATTCCCTTGACTACCTTCGGCTGTTTTTAAAAATACCTGAGGATATATACTTATCAGATGAATTGTTTTTACCTCTGGTGACCAGTTCCTTGTCTTAGGCACACTGAATATATGAACACGGGAGGGAACAATCATAGAATTGGTGAAATTCTATAGATTGGGCGCCCACACATTCCGTGAAAGTTTGGAAGAATCGTAGAACTACCAATTTATCTATCAACATTTGTCTTATGCAAAAAGCAAATATTACCCAACTAACTCCTCTATTCGTCCGTTATCAACAACTGAAAAAAACTAAATCTTCAAACTATGTCCTTCTTTGATTAAGGTACCTAGTAATATTCGTTTTGTAATTGGATTCAATGAGTATCACATCCATGAAATCTATACATGTTTTAATTTGTCCCCCAAAGCTAAAAAATGTTATGTATATCTGATGCCTGCTTCAAAAACGTGTAAAACGTATTGGCTGCAACGTCTACGCGACAGGAACGCACCAAAGATCATAGAACGTGCCACCACCAAGAGGTGGTGACTCGAAACTATAGCAGCTTAAAACGAAGCTACCTAGTGAGCGGATTGGTGACCTTGGCGAATTCATTTTCAGAACTTGGTTTAACTTGACTATGACGACTTCCTTGAGATACTGTGAGGTTTTCTCGAAACATACACGAGAATATTATCGTTAATAGCCATAAAAATGTGAGAAAATGGGAAATCTTAGTAAATACCACCTCGTTAAAAGGATATTGAGTGTTGTGACTGGTGGGCTATGGATTGAGGTGTTGTAATTTTAGCCGCACATTACAACTGTGACGCTATGAGTGGTGACCATGTCAAGGCGGATTTGTCTTTCGGGGTGGTTAAGGTTTGAATTGTGCCTAATTAGTCTATCGAGCATTAGGAAATTCTGGAGGACCCATCTGGGTTTTCACTAGCGAAACTGAAATCAACTGCAGAGGCTACCGACTTGAAGTAAAATCCCCTAAATCCTAATAGAAGATTTTCAGGGATAAGAAAAGCTTAATAGATGTTGCTTTAAGAGGACGGATGCTGCGTCTTCTTGCATCGGACTTCATGGACGATGTAAAAACCTTACTAAAAATGGGAGTCGCTGCAGCACTTGCGAGTAATATTCGTTTTTCAGATTTAGCTAATGTAGTTATGTAGACTTATGCTCTGCCCATACTCCTTTTTTGTTGTTTTCGGATGTCTTCAACACAAAACCAATATCTGTTTGCGAAGAAATGTTTGGATTTATGGAAGAGACTATAATCACATTGAAGGATGTAAGTTTGTTTTTACGAAGCAATATAATACTTCAGGTACCGTTATTCGGTTCTGGTAGGAATACACTACTCAGGATGTGCAATGGTTCGTTCAGTCACTTTCCATAGAAATATATCTCCAATGTAGATTTGCTAAGGCGCTTATCGAAGTCCCAAAATACCGTGTTTTGCGGCCAAATTCAGCTTTTCCTAACACGTTTATTTCCGTTAGATGAAAAGTCAGGACTCAATTTCATGAGCAATTTTAATTCAGAGAAAAACATCCTGTATAATAAAAATCCAGATCCCAGTGTCTTCAGGCACCACCTGCCTCATGATCATTCGTGTGATGATATCGAAGAAGGTGAGATGACCGACTCGGTTACTCCCCTGGAGGTAGATGCTGGCCTTTATGTCAAGTTTTGGTCACTTCAAGAATTCTTCAAATCACCAGTTTTATGCTATGAAAATTCCAAATGGCTAAAGTTTACAAGCAGTACGGATACAGTACTAGATATATTTTCGAGCATTAAACTGATGACTGCGGAAGAAAACGATGCGTGTTCTCAGAGTAGCAGCAGAAAATTTTCTAAGTACCTCACAAGTGAAAAGGTAAGAATTTGTTGTATGAACTGTGTAGAGGCTTTCTGAGAATTGATCTAATAAACTAGTAGATTTAGGATTTCAGTCAAATTTGGGACGAAATCATAGTGGTGTTCTTAAACGAATTTGTGAATCCTGGAGTTTTCTGGTTAGTACTTGTTGCATAACTAGAAATGTTTAGGTTGAATACAAGAATGGCTTTTTCGGATCGAAAGATGACATTTGCATAGAAACCACTCATTTATAAGTTTCCTATTTCCAAGGAAGAATCTGTATGATTTAGTTGATAAGTTGTAACTACTGTGCTTTGCCCAGTATAAGTAACATCAGCAATAATTACCGAAGATTTTTTTCTTATCATAAGATAGCTCACACTAAGTCTCTTTTTCACCTCATGATTTTACTGTTTTGTTGTATTCAACAATCTTCAATCTTTCAAGAATCAGTGCAAACTTTTATGGGATAACGAAGGCAAATGAAACATGTCCATCTATATCTCTTTAACATACGTTGAAGCCAGTTTGAGACAAACATGGTTTTGTTAAATTTTCCCCAAAAATACCAATTTTCACAGCAGCTTGACAGCTAATATGATATGTTGTAATGTAAAAAAAGTTTTATGCGAATGAGTTCATGCATTTCTTGCATCTAATATAAGTACATTCGATAAACGTAGTTTACTTAGTGTTAAAGTAGTGTTCATATCTCCAGAAATTAAACTGCCAATCAGTACATGACCATAACACTACCCATCAGCATATTAAAGATACCGCAATCGGACGAACACTACGCGAAATCTCGTGTTCAAAATATTTAATGTTACAGTGGTGCTAATAAATTAGATTGTTGTCATTGAGGGACAAATGCTCATTGATCCAATGGACCGAGTTGTATCCAGTTTCTTGAATTGACTGGTTGCCTTCCTATTGTCTCCACCGAAATATTTTTCATGACTTGTGTGTAGACTGGGATAATCTTTGGGTATGTCTTGGTGTACTGTCAAGTTTTTTTCTAAATAATGAAAGCATTTTCGAGATTAATGTGAATGTTCCTTGATAATGTTATTTCTTTACTTTGTCACTGGGCTGAGTGAATGTCTAACTAATCAGTTATTTTTTTCTTCAAATTGATTTCATTGGCCGATGTAGATTGCAATTGATTAACGAGTGATATCGTTAAGGTGAATTACATTATCCTATGTAAGCGAAACTTAATGAATAATGACTGACTGACTGGTTTCAACGTGGAACTTTGCACCGATGTACAGCAGTTCGTTATTCTCTTGGCTTCCAAGTGGAACATAGAGCTTCAACAGCACATCTATTTAATCCTATTCTGTGCAGTCCTCTTTAGCAGGTTCCGTGATTGTCCATAGGCTCTCATCTCTTCCTTGTCACCGTCGGAGCCCAACTGACTTTCTCATTCAGACTGCACTCAAGGGCCTGACGGGCCGTGTCACTGAACGGTCTTCTCCGCGTGTGTTTGATCCATCTCCATTTCCTTCGGCATATTTGTTGAGCAATAGGTTCTTGGTTGGTTGGTCCTCAGAGTTCCCTTTGCTTATGCTTTGTGGCAGGCCATAAAGTCTTCAACATGGAGCGAAGGCAGCTGGCTGTTAATGAAAGCCTGTTGTTGCTTACTCCGAGAGTTTATCGAAACCCTCTATTTCCTAAATGGTTTCATCAACTCGGCGCCCAAATATTTTAGAACTATTCTGTCAAATCTTGACGGGAGTTCATTTGAATGGTTTCATCAACTGTTGTCTTCATATTGGGAACCTTTACTAAGCTACTAAAGCAACAGTTGGTCATTGTTAGTGAATACTTGCGTTTTCTACATATCTTTCACCAGTTATCTCTGCCTGCTCTCATTATGAATACTTTTAGTTGAATTGAGTGTAAGAGCATTGAATCACTCTTCTCGCACTTATTAGTTTAGATTACTATTTGCTTACCAGCCACCTCTGTTACTGTTTAGAGTAAATGTGAAAACGTTTGTGTATACGGAGAAATCGTTCCAGTCTTAACACTGACCTCTGAGGGGCTTCATGTGCGCTATTTAATTTCCTCCAAGTACGGCGAAATAATATATTTGAACCATTACAACCCTGAATTTTCGGCAAAAACTTCTGAAAGTGTTGCTCTTTGATAAGTCCTCAACTATAATATCTAGCAACATGATCTGGGTATTTTCGTCTTTTTATCAATGATGACACAAAGAATGACAGCGTATCTTAACGTTAGGAATCATTGCTGGCTCGAAAAGAAGTTTGCAAAAGTGAATTTGAAACCGTTTTTGACACTCAGTCTTCAACCAGTAGGTCATAAGTTCAACCTCTGCTTCATCCATTGTGACGCAGACTTGCAGGTTGTTTACAAGCCACCTCACCATATGAGTATATTTATTCATCGAGAATCAATAACATTTTCACTTAATTACCTTAAACAAAACTTTGAAGTACACCTGGTTATTAAACTTTCCAACTCATATCATTTATTGGTACAACGTTTTTCTTTCTTTCTTTTCCTTTTCTCTCTTTTCTGTTATATGCAGCTTTGTTTCTTTCTTCTGCTTACGCCAGTAAATATGCTAGCACCTACTTTTCTAGCACCTTCAAGCACTGTTTAATTTTGGCTTTGCTACCGACATGCTAATATGTTGTTGTCAAAACTAACTGAGATTACCCTTAATCTATGTAGAATTTTATTTATTGTTAATTTACTAACTGGATGCAATACTTTAGTAAAATGCTGAGAATTCCACTCTGTATCGCGAGTACTGTTTTGGAATAAAGCTATTATTATTCAATAAAACTTGTCTGGGAGTTGAAATTATGGGAGACAATTATGGCTATCAGTTTGTTGGTATAGGATTACCAAGAAATTTCAAGGGTTCTTTCCCGATCGACCCCCGTCTACCTGTCTTGAATTTTGGAATCAACTTGCTTGATTATACGCACCAGAAGTTTCTTGTAAGAGTTGGTACTTAGTTCATTCTTCTATTTGGTCATTCAGTGTATCACTGCAATCAGGGTACTAAGAAAATAGTGAGCTCTCTGGTTTTGCATTTGAGCTAGCTTTTATTAATATACATGTTGAGCATCTTAAATATGTAGCCATCAGTTCTTCAGTCTTTCGTTATGATTGCCAACTGAAGCATGTAATTACCACCAGACATTATAGAAAAATACTTGGTTTTTTCTTTCTTTTTAGGTTTTATAACAGTGTCAGTTCGGTTTGTTGCTTTGATAAAATTTAACACTAAAGTGTAACTGGGTTTCGACGTCGTTCATTTGGGAGTCGATGAAACGATACATAAAAAAATTGTGTAACTACAACGGCGTTTATGAATGTGAATTATTCGATTGACCAATATAAGACATGTCGGTAGGCTTTTCAAATACATAAGAATGCATCCAAATGCCATCTCATTTATAATTCTGTGTCTTCCAAGTAACTCAGAAACATGTCTTTTACTGTCAGCCGAATTATCCAGTCCCGAAGTATTACATATTAGCGTAGTGTATATATATATATATATATATATTGGTGCGATACTGTTGCAACGTTTTAGTTATTTTCTGTGGGCTAGTAGGTTTACTGTGTGATCAGTGTTTTAAATGACAATCAGAGCATTAACCATAGTTCTTTCTCCGCACACCATTTTTAATAAATTCACTTTGAGGAAAGCCTCTTCAATTTCCTATCTATTTCAGTTATTGGATTTGCAACTAATGGATCCAAGTTTCCGACGGTACATACTAGTTCAGCTGTTAATCTTGTTTCAGTACTTGACAACTACTGTTAAATTTAAAACGTGAGTGGGATTTTTCGCACTATTCTTACGTGCATGTTCGGTGTCACTTGTTTTGCAACTTTTTTATGATTGCAAGTACTTTTCTTCATTTATGTGTCATTCTACAAATTTATTTCATTGTCGACACAGGTGGTTTACAATTAAGTTCCTTTCATTGTTTGTTTGTGAATGTTATCAACTAACTTTTGTGTATTCGTTCAATAGTGCTTAACTTCGGTTACACAGAAATGACTTTTTGAGAACCTAAAAAAAGAGTCCTTTTGTCACTACAAACTTTGAACCACTAAATTATGTGTGAAATCTCAGCTATATGATTCATTAGTTGGCTTCAGATTAAAATATGCTTTTAACTTTTTTAAACTGCTTCTGTCTCAACAAATCTTTTATTTAGGACGAAACACCTTACATATATGCTTAGTTGTAACATTTATTTAACAAAGCTGTATGAAAGCTACAATAGTATCTAAATATGATCTATTATTATTTTTTAGTATTGCTCCCTTGGGCTCCTAGTGGAACATAGGGCTTCAACTGCACGTCTCCATTTTCTTCTGTCTTCTGCTGTACTTTTCGCCTGCATCCATGTTAGTCCATATTCTTTCAACTCCTCTTCACACGATCTCCTCCATGTCACCCTTGGACGTCCCACACGCCGCTTCCCTTTCGGGTTCCACTCGAGGGCTTGGCGCGCGATGTCACCCAGCGGTCTCCTCAGCGAGTGTCCGATCCATCTCCACTTTCTCCTGCATATTTGTTGGGCGATTGGTTCTTGCTTTGTTTGTTCCCATAATTCCTTGTTGGTGATTCTTTCCGGCCATCTGATCTTCAGTATTGAGCGAAGACAGTTGTTAATAAAGGTCTGCAGCCTTTTGGAAATATTCTTTGTGACCCGCCAAGTTTCTGATCCGTATAGAAGAACTGACTTTACGTTTGTATTGAAAATCCGAATTTTGTTGTTGATGCTGAGTGACGAAGATTTCCAGATTGATTTCAGGTTGATGAATGTGTTTCTCGCCTTCCCGATTCTCGATTTGACATCCTCGTCCGCTCCTCCTGTAGTTGAGACAATGCTCCCTAGATAAGTGAATGAAGTAACCTCTTTCAAATCCCTCCCGTTGATGGTGATTGACGTTGGATGTTGTTGTTGTTGGTTGGTTATTTTCATAACCTCCGTCTTGTCTATGTTTACCTGGAGTCCTGTCTTTGCTGCTTCTTCGACCAGTTTGTCGGTTTTCGCTTGTAAGTCTTCGATTGTGTGTGACATCAAACATAAGTCATCCGCGAAATCCAGGTCTTCTAGGTTCTTCACGTCGGTCCAGGATATTCCTGTCTTCTCGTTTCCCACAGTCTGACGCATAATCCAGTCCACCACAATTAGGAATATCATTGGTGATAGTAAGCACCCTTGTCTGACTCCTGTGTTTACTCCAAACGCCTCGCTGAGTCTTCCGTTGTGGATCACTTGGCAGGTGCCGTTGTCGTACAGCTGTTGAATAAGGTTGATGAATATTTGGGGTACGCCATAGTACTCGAGTAATTTCCAAATTACTTCACAGCCAACGCTGTCGAAGGCCTTCTCAAAGTCTATAAAGTTGAGGTAGAGGTTTGATTGCCATTCCATGCTTTGTTCTGTGATGATGATGCGTAGAGTTGCAATTTGGTCAGTACATGATTTGCCTTTCCTGAATCCAGCTTGTTCTGGTCGGAGTTCTGTCTCCAGTGCGTCCTTTAATCTCTCCAGGATGATGCGACTCAGGATTTTACTTGGCGTCGATAGGAGCATGATTCCTCGCCAGTTCTTGCAGAGTGGGCCTAAGTCGCCCTTCTTTGGTAGTTTCACGAGGTAACCTTTCCTCCAGTCAGTAGGCACCTTTCCCTCCTTCCAGACCTTTTGCAATAATGGAGTCAGCATGTCTGCTGTCGTCTCTGGGTCTGCTTTCAGTGCTTCAGGGGGTATTCCATCTGGTCCGGCTGTTTTTCCAGCTTTCAGAAGTTTGATTGCATTCAAGACTTCAGCTCTCGTTGGAGGATTGGTGTCAACTTGCAGTTGTGTGCGCGCTGTTGTTGGTATTTCTGGACGGGTTGCAGGTGATGGTCGGTTCAAGAGTCCTTTGAAGTGATCCGCCCATTGTTTAATCTGTTTTTCTTCCTTGGTAATGGGCTTCCCTTGGCTGTCTTTTATAGGTTTCGCTTGTGTTGGTCTCTTCCCGGATAGAGATTTGGTTATCTGATATAGTGTCCTCAGGTCCCTTTTGCCTGCTGCCTTTTCAGCTTCAGTAGCTAGATTGTCGTAGAATCGTCTTTTGTCCTTCCTAGCACTTTTCTTCACTTCTTTGTCCAATGCTTTGTAAGTTGAGCTCATCGTCTCCTTCTCCTGTCCGTCCTTGCATTGAATCATTTTCTCTTTCACCATTCTCCTCTCTTCTATTAATTTCCAAGTGTCCGTTGAGAGCCATTCCTTGTCTTGTCTCTTCTTTCTTCCTAGAACCGTTGAACACGTTTCGTTGAGAATCGCCTTCAGAGACTTCCAATGTTCTTCCACGCATGATTCTTCAGTGATGTCGCGTAGTGTTTCCTGCTTTGCTCTGACAGTTGCAGTGAAGGTGTCTTTTGTGGTTGTGTCCTTCAGTAATTGAGTGTTGAACTTGCATTGTGGCCTATCCCCAGCTATCCTCGAGGCTTTTAGTTTCACCTTGAAAGTCCCTTGTACTAGATAGTGGTCTGAACCCACATCTGCTCCTCTCCTTGACCTTGTGTCCAGTAGGCTCCGTCTCCACTTTCTTGAAATTGAGATGAAGTCTATTTGATTCTTGGTGTTTCCATCTGGTGAAATCCATGTCGTCTTGTGTATATCCTTGTGTTTGAACACACTACCGCCAATCACCAAATCATTGAAGGCGCAGAAGTCTGAGAAGAGTTCACCATTGTCGTTCATTTCACCGAGGGCCTCACGACCCATGGTGAGTTCTCTTCCTGTGTTGTCTCCTCCCAGCTTCGCATTCACATCACCCATCAGGATTTTGATATCGCCATTTGGGACGTTGTCCATTACTGCTTGTAGTTGTCTGTAGAACGCCTCCTTCTTCTCTTGTTCTGAGACGTTTGTAGGCGCATAGCATTGAATGACTGTAACTTTCCTTCCTTTTGAGTTGAACCTGGCTGTCATTATCCTGGAGGAGATTGGTTCCCACTGCATGAGAGCTTTGGCTGCTGTTGGTGACATCATGATGGCCACTCCCTCGGTGTGCTCGTGGTTGTCCTCTGGGTGACCGGAATAGATTATTGTCTCTCCAGTTGGTAGTTGGCACCTTCCAGTTCCGTTCCATCTGCTTTCGCAGATTCCCAACACTTCTATTCTGTACCTTCTCATTTCAGCGGCTACCTGGGCAGCCTTTCCAGTTTCGTACATTGTACGAACATTCCACGTCCCGATACTTATTTTAGCCAACCCAGTGTTCTCAGTGTGATTAGATCTTTAAGATAATTTCAATACAGTTTTATTGTCCATATGATTTCTTTGTTAGAAGGTAGCACATGAACTTAATCAGGTAGACCAGAGCCTGGTCACTTGTTCTGATTAAATTTATGCGTAATCTGAAATTTCCATTTTTATTTTTCTAGATTAAGTCCTCACCATCGAATGTTCATCGGTCGTCTAAGATTCTTGAATATTGTGTTCATGGACTCAAAATAAAGTACTTGTGGAGTTTTCCGAGTTTCCTATAGTTTTGAAATAAACTACAGATTAAGCAGTCTGTAGCCTTCTGACATGCGCAGTTGAGCTTTCAATACCCTAGCGAGCTTCGCTTCATGAAACTAATATCCCTGCAGGTCCTAACATACCGGAAAAATTACTTGAATGACGATTAAATTCAAAAACAGCTAAGATTTAACCGCTACTCTATGCTATGTTCGATGGTGATATGTAGAGTTGCGATTTGATCCGCACATGATTTGATTTTCCTGAATCCAGCTTGTTCCGGATAGAATTTTGCATCGAGACCATCTTTCAGTCTCCTCAGGAAGATGCTTAAGACTTCTGCTTTTGCTGGGGTATTGGTGTCCACCGACAGCACTATGGTTGTTGGTGGTATTTTTGCATGAGTTGCAGGTGGTGTTCGTTTCAGGAGTCCTTTGAAGTGGCTAGCCCATTGTTTCCTTCGCTTCTCCTCTTCGCTAATTAGCTTCCCTTCGCTGTCTTATTGCTTTCATCTGCGCTGTTCGCTTCCCCGATAATGACCTGGTTATGCGATATAATGTGTTTCACCATCTCTTTCTCCTCTATTAGTTTTCGAGTGTCCGCAGAGAACCATTTATCGTATGGCCTCTTCTTCCTTGCTAAGACGACTGCACAGCTTTCCCACACTATCATCTTCAGAGTCCCTGTTATCTTCCACACATTTTCCGTCGGTGAGGCTACGTAATGTCTCCGACTTTGTTGCGATGGCTGTAGTAAATGTGTCGTCTGTAGTTTCGTCCTTCAGTAGTTGAGTGTTGAACTTGAATTGTGATCTGTCTCCAGCTTCTTTGAGGGCTTTCTATTTTATCTTGAACTAGATAGTGATCTGAACTCACGTATGCCCTTCTTAATCTTGTCCACTACACTGACTGCGTCTCCTCTACTTTCTTGAGACTGAGACAAAGACTATCTTATTATCCATCCGGTGAAGCCTATGTCGCCTTGCGTATATTCTGGTGCTTGTACACACAGCCTCCAATCACCAAATCACTCATGATGCAGAAGTCTGCGAAGAGTTCTCCGGTCTCATACATTTCACCGAGAGACACCTGACCTATTCTGAGTTCTCTTATGTTGTCTGACCGTTGTTTAGAACCTATATCATCGATTAGGATTTCAGTGTCGCCATTTGATGTCTTATCGATTAGAGTTTTCGGCTGTCTGTAGAATTCTCACTTCTCTTGTTGTGCATTGTTTTTAGGAGTGTAGCATTTGATAGTTGTAACTCTCCTACCTTTTGAGTTGGATCTTGGTGTCATTATCCTGGAGCAGTTTGCTTCCCCCTGCATAAAGGCCTTCGATGCTGTTGATGACACCATGATAGTCACTCCCCAGTTTGCTTGCGGTTGTATAAGTGGTCGAATTAGTTTACTGACTCTCCAGTTGATAATTTAGAGGGTCCACATCCATTCCATCTGCTTTTACGAATTCCTAATATTTCTATACTACATCTCATTTCTTCTGCAATTTGGGAAGCCTTACCAGCCTCAAATTTGGTGTAGAGACTCCATGTCCGCATACCTGCTTTCAAATAGACTGACTAGTCTTCCTAGAGGCTTTCATCAACCTGCACCATTTCGTTTCTCCGATTCCTGCAAAGAATAAGTTTATTTTTCATGTTTTATTTTTCTGTGCTTTGAAGTTCCTGTAGCTATTGCGTTGATTTTCCTGGTTAGGATCGCTAAAATCACACCCAACGTTTACTCTGGTTTCATTATTGATTGAGTTTTGGTGGAAGTTGTAATAATTTCATTATATGTGGGTACTGTATCTCCGTGAGGATATGAGTGTTTGTCATAGGTGGATATTTTTTGAGGTTTTGGGAGTTTGGTTTCCACTTTTCACAGATAATGTTCTTTTAGAAATACTTAAGGTTCATTTTCGTTGTTCTTATTGTTAAACATTTTGTGTACATGTTTGGTATTCATCATTGTTTAACTTATAAGTGCTATATTCAATTTAGTTTCTTTATGTTAGGATTCTGTTTTCATTAATTTTAGGCGTGAGTGGTATCTCAGGCTTTGATTGTAGTACGAAAATGCTAAGTTTTTTCGTCCCAGTGGCTACGATGACAGCTTATTGTCCTAGTCGTTTATTTGGTGTTTGTTTTGTTCCTGAGTTAGGTGGATCAGAATTATAAAAAAGTATCCTGTGTTAAAAACGCAAGCAGTTGATTCCTCTAATGTAAGCATTTCATTCGTGTCAGTTAGTATTGGTTCATAATGTTGCAATCTGTACCTTTGAATGTTTCCACCCCTCGTGCATCCTCACGTAAAGCCAAACATACATAACATGAGAATAAAACTATTAAGCTATTCATTATAAACGCTTCTCTCATTGGTAATGTTATAGTATTTCCTGAGTGTTTGGGAGTCATACATTTTGCTTTAACCGTCTAATCAATCCATTTTAGAATTTTAGTTTGATAAAATAAACCAACGGTTTTAAGTTTGTTCCTTCATCGATCTGAGCGTATAGACTTACCAGGAGTTTCAAAACCAACCTATGTCTGAATATTCATTTGTCAGCTGTAAACTTTAGGTCTTCGATATTGTTTCGCAGTGTTTACAGTGTTAGTCTGAAACAGATGTTTTCGTATCTATTATTGAACACTATGGTTGTTGCATACTGCTTTTTGTTCACATAGCTTTTCACTCATCTATTATGTGAGTATTATCCTTTCACTGTGCTTTAGAATGGACCAAGTGCTTAGTGAAGATCAGCAGTCTTGGGTTAACCAAAGACGTGAAGCAGTAATACGCCTTTTATCGTCAAACAGTTCAAGTACTTCTCCGAGTGGTACTTTTGTATCTACAGTTGAACACATTTTGGAGCGTGAAGGTTATTGGAATAGATGGAAAAATGATGGGTGTCCTTCCTTTATACGGACTGCTGAAAAGTCTCGACTGTCTACCAGGTAAGCCTTTTACTATAGTCATTTTTATTGAATACCGGTATAACATGTACTAAATTAACTATTAAACTTTCAGAAAAAGGCATATCAATCCCTTGATTACCCGTACTGGCCAGAAAGTATATCGTTTTGGTAATCGAGAATTAGATAAACTGTGGAATGTGTGTCCAGATAATCTAGCTGCATGTCGTGACCAACGTCGTCTCTTCAACGCAGATCTTCATACTTACTTTCAAGATGCTATCATCGAAATGGATCCAGCAGAAAAAGTTGAAGAGGAATACAAGTATGTCTCACAGTTTTGCTTCATGATATGCGTTATTTTATAGTCAGATATGTCATTATCAAGTTGATAGAAAAGCGTATGGCATAATATAGTACCTCCAGTGACTTGATTTTGAGTGTATCAAAGCTGTTTGAGTGTGTTCAGTCTTTGGTATTTTTTCGAAATTTCGAGTCCTTTTCCATTTTTTTCATCTTATGACTACTTATTTTTGCCCTTATATGATGTGTCACAACTTGAGGATATATATCTGAACATTTGTGTTTATGGCGTGAAATCACAACTCACCGATCAAAGTCGTTTTTCAACACCACAACTAGCGTAAGGAAAGCAGGAGTAACAAGAACAGTAATAATGATAATAATTACCATAGAGGAGAAGAATTATCAAAGGTCAAACTGAAATAGAATAGCATAGAAAAAAAACTTGTGTCCAGAGGCGTCTGGTAAAACGAATAAAACGGAGGACTGTGTACGAACTTCTAAACATTTAGTGATTAGAGGCAATGTGTACAAACACAAGCATATCCACTGAAAAGATTAAACAGTTGATATAAGTATAAAACTTGGGCATTGTGGTAGAGTAATATTAACTGATATTACTGTGCAACATTGTGATTTACCTAAATAAAATCTTATCCATGATGAAGATTAAACCGTACCTGAGATGCAAAAAGCTGGCAGGAACCTTCAAAATCCAGAGAAAACAACTTATATACCGATCGAATAGCAGCACTACACGTCATACTGAGAAGTTTGTCGACATCCTGAAAGCTCTGTACAGAAACACCGTAGGTAGAGTGAGGGCATACAACCAGCTATCACCACTGTTCCCAACTAATAGTGGGATTAGACAGGGTTGCCCGATCTCTCCATTCCTCTGCAACTTTTTTTTGGCGGCCTGTTTGACACCTGGGCTACCTTTCCATACATCTACGTATTGCATCTAATACATCATGTTTTCATTTTTAATGTTAACAAAATATGATCGCAAATCGTATCAAATACAGTGATGAATTCATTAAATGTTTCAAACCAAATGACTCATGAATCTAATAAGACTAAGAGGAAACATCACGGTGGTTGGCAACGTGCTCTCAAATAGACATCTTTATATCGCACAACTATTCCTGTTATTGTCAGTTCAAACTGCCGTTCACTTCCCAACAAAATTATGCATCTTCAGTCTCTCTTATCATCTAATACTTATCACAATACGGCGATAGTTGCATTACAAGAGAAATAGCTCCATGAACTTTATGATGACAACCTGGTTTCTCTAAATGGTTTTACATTGTTTAGACAAGATCGACTATGCTCCAGAAAGAAAAGAAGTGGAGGTGTTGCAACCTTCATTCATTCAAAATGGTCAAACTCAAATAACGTTTTTCTTCCTCTAGTGATTTTATTGATTGTATAACAGGCAAATGTCGTCCGAAACACTTATCCAAGTTTAAATACGTCTTCATCTCAAACATTTATGTTACTCCTGGCTGTTCCGCCTCGGATCTATCTGATTTTGCCGATGAATTCACTGAATTCGCCGTTACACATCTTGAAAACTCTTTATCAGTTGTCACAGGAGATTTCAAATCCTCCGATAGTTCTTTTTTTGAATCATTAGGTCATGTCAACATTGTTAAATTCCCTACTCGACTTGATAAAACACTAGATCTAGTATTTAATAATGACGCGGAAATGTACGAAGCACGCAGACGTGCTCCCATAATGAACTCTGATCATTTTATTATTCGTATATTACCTAATATATATAGCAGATCTCACTCCAATATCCTCTCAAATCTGTCCAGGAAAATACAACAAAGATGTTACTCACAGGAAAATGTGCTTAAACTAAGACGCATGTTAAATGACACAAACTGGGAACTTTTCACCGAACACACTGGGTGATACTATTTTCAATCTGACTGACTATCTTAAATTATGCCTTGATGCTTACTGTCTAAAACAGATACTTTTCAAAAGAGTGGACCGTTTCTTTTCCCCTCATCTCGAAAAGCTTCGAAGAGAAAAAGAGAGAGACTGTACAAGACTAAGGATAAATCTGCTCTTAGGAGGATAAATATCCTAATTAAATCCGAAATCAAGAGGCTAAACGATATTTATAATCAAAGAATATTGTTTTGTAAAACTCCATAAGCATAATATTTGTGCTCCTTCTATTGATGTAAATACTCTAAATAGATCTTTTATCCGCCCTCCTAATGTCCCTTTTAGCTCAATGTAACTAATAACATGACCAGTAACTTTCAGAGTTTCAATACTTCTGATGTTCTTAAATGTTAGAATCTCTTAAATCTTCCCAGAGTCTAGGCCCTGTTGGTATACCTGCCATTGTCCTAAGGAAATGTGCTGATATTTTAAGTAACCCACTTACAAACATTTTCAATACTTCTTTTTCTAATAATGTTGTACCTTCTCTTTGAAAAGATATCAAAATAATCCCTCTACCCAAGTCTGGTTCTGAAAATAGTGTAAAGTTTACACCTATTGCTATCACCGCTCCTTTTTGAAACTAATGGAGAAATTATTGTTACTAAAACTTGTTCCCTCCCTAAGCTTCTCAAATTATCCAAAGCAGTTTGCTTACAAACAGGGTAGAAGTACTTTAGACGCTACTGCTGCTGCTGCTGTGTTTCATCACAACATTGTATCCTCCTTAGACAAAGGGGCCAAGTATGTCCGTTGTAGGTTCCTAGATTATACATCTGCTTTCGACTCTGTACCTGGAAGCCTTTTGTTAAACAAGCTTAACCTTACACAAACTGAGTCCTGGGCTATCAACTGGCTGCACTCTTACTTCTCTAATAGGATGCAGTACACGGTATATAATGGTGTATCTTCCTCTCCTTTGCTTACTGAAGCTGGAGTTCCTCAGAGTGCTGTTCTCTCTCCGTTTCTCTTTTCCTTCTTCTTACATGACTTACCTCTTTCAGACGAAATCAACTTCGTCAAATATACAGATGACCTGACTGTTTCGCTTCCCGTTAAGACTCAGTCAGACTGTTTCAAATTAAATAGCTTCCTGTCGGACATCAGTCAGTGGTCTAAACTAAGTGGCCTCATACTGAATCCCTCAAAATACCAGACTATTGACTACTCCTTTAGGCATAAACGAGATCTACAAACACCAGTAAGTACTCATGAAGCCTGTAGCAATTAGAGGACTAAAATTGAAACTAAGTCTAATGCAAAATACCTCGGACTAGTTCTATCTTCCGACCTTACACGGTCATCTCATATGCTAACGATTTCTAAGAAAGTGTTCCGTCTAGCCTACTACATTAAGAAACTTGGACTATCTGGAATCATCCAACCTCTACTTTCACAATTTATCAACTCTCATATCTTATCTATTCTACTTTACTGCTACCCATTAGTCTTTCAAGGGTTACTGAAAAAGGACTTTACCATCCTGAGAAGGATGTTGAAGGTAGTTAGTAGGACTAGTGGTGTAAAACTCATTCAGCTCATCACTACATTAGTAGATAAGCATCTGAATACATGCGAAAAATGGTCTAAAACCATACTCTCCGATCCCCAGCACCCCCTCTATTCCCAACTCTCTCCTTGTATCTCATCAGGTAGAACCAGAAATCAGTATAAAATAATATTTGCTCGTGCAACCAAGTATAGGAACTCAACGATACCATATTTGGCCCGTGTTCTAAGTGACAGAGACAATGTTAAACGCGAAACCTATGACTTGCTTTGTTGTTAATAACATAATTTTGCCTCTTTTATTTCCCTCTTATTTGTATTCTATAGTGAACACCTTAAACATACTTAGCTACCTTAAATTACTAACATTGGCTTACTTTTTTTGTACTTTACTCTATTCCTTCTTTTGTGTATCTACTGGTTCCGACCATATTATCACTATGATTACTACAAAATTGTCCTGTAATTAACCATCATGTAATATTAGTTTTGTGCTTGTTTTTGTTCAGCAATATTAACTGACGATCTTGGTTGTGAATGCCATTATTACCATCTTAAACATTTTGTATTATGCAGGATTACTCACACTACCACTACAAACACCGCATTAGAACTGACAATAAAAAAACTGAAATGTTTACTTTATGATTGCTTAGTGTTGTTCATTTAAATTAACTGATCATGTGATAAACATTCTTAATATCATTTCATAACTTCTTGTATGATATAGTTTTAGTGTTCACCACGCATAAACATATCATAGCTTCTACTACCCAATACTGAGATATTATTTATTATGTTGTTTATTTCCCATTCTACTTCTTGGTATTTTATTGGCATTTTTTGCTTTTTTTTGTTTTTGTTGTTGTTTGTTTTTTATATTTATTTCTTGAAATACCCCTTTTAAATGTTTGAAAAAATTAGATGCAATATTGTAGATGAGTGCTGAAAATTCCACACTGTACTACTAGTACTGTTTCTGGAATAAAGCAAATTATTATTATTAACTTTGCCATTGGTGACATTCTGGAGTCAGCTCTGAAGGATGCGCGTGAAGGTGGTGTAGATCGGCTTCCTGGAGAGACTTTCCGACCTCGGGTATGCAGACGATATCGTCTTACTGTGGGATAGCATACAGGCTACCAAAATCGTACTTAATCATTTAGTGATCAATTTCTGTAAGTTTGGTATGTGCTTTGCGCCGTCTAAGTGCAAAGTACTGTTACAAGATTGGCAGGAGCCTGTACCTGCACTCTCTCTTGCAGGTGAACCGCTTGAAGTTGTCGATAAGTTTGTGTATCTGGGTAGTTAGTTGTGTGGGTGCAAGCGGAGGGGTGACGGATGATATTTCCAACAGTATAATGAAGGCTTGGGCCACCTCTGAGGCCGTCGCGACGTTAGCCTGGCTGTCAAAGGTTGGGTATATAGTGCTTCAGTGCGGGCTGTCTTGCTCTACGCCTGTGAAATCTGGCCTCTCCGAGCTGAGGATGTGCGGCGACTCTGCGTGTTCGATCATCGCTGTCTCTGCAGGATTGCTTGCGT